ATGGAAGCTCCATGAGGCCAGGAGCTTTGTTCTGACCTCAGTGCCAGAAAAAAAAAACAAAAAAAAAACCAGGTTTATTACTGCCACTTTGTAAATATTGAATGAATGAATGAATGAATGAATGAGGAAAAAAAAATCTACCTGAGAACCAAGAAGGCTTTTCATGAAAAAAGGGATAGTTTTGGAAGCACAAAATTTTGGCGATAGGGAACGACTGGCTGACCTCATTACTGCTCAAAAGTCAAGGCTGCTACATTTTTTCACTGGCTCAGAACCAAGCAATGGGTCCTCATGTCATTCAGGGTAAAAGTCCAAATCCATACAATAACCTCAAAGGCCCCACTGGGTCCGGTGCTACTGTTACCTCTCCACCCCTTTCTCCTAAATGCCTCCCTTGCCTCATTCTACGTCGGCTGCACAGGCTTCTTTGTAAGCATCCACCTTGATGACCTTGCATCAGCTATTCCCTTGGTCTGAAAGGATATTCCCAGATATCTTTCTTTGTTTTTTTTTTTTATCGGAGAGAGAGAATGGGAGACAGAGAGCATGAGAGAGGGAGGATCAGAGGGAGAAGCAGACTCCCCGCCGAGCAGGGAGTCCGACGCGGGACTCGATCCCGGGACTCCAGGATCATGACCTGAGCCAAAGGCAGTTGCCTAACCAACTGAGCCACCCAGGCGCCCCCCCAGATATCTTTCTAACTCGACCCTCTGCTTCGCATCTCTCAGATCCCATCCTCTTAAGGGAAACATGGCTTATCACCCTATATTTTACTGAGACCCAGTCACTTCCCTCTCTGGTACTCCCCAGGACCTTACCCTGCTCTTTTATTTTTTCCTATAGCCTCCATCAATGATCACATACCAGACCTACCCTTTATTATTGTCCCTTTCCCCCTGCTAGACTCTAAGCTCCATAGGGCAGGGATCATGTTCTGATACCTGAGATAACCCCGAGTGCTTAGAATGGTGTCTGGTAGGTGTCTGATACATGGTGAACATTCAGTAAATACTTGTTGAATAAAGGAATGAATGAATGAATGAATGAATGTCTCAATCATTTCTCACAATGTCAGACTGCTAACTGAAAGTAGTGTTAAAAATATTTGGGTGACTGAATCAGAACTTTGCTTTGATTGTTCAAGGCCACCCTTGACTCTGGACTGCACTGAATTGAACACCTGGACATTCTTATTTCCCAGCTCCAATTTAAATGTTTATCACTCACCCAAAGTAGAGGTAATTATATACCTATTATAATTTCTAAAACTGTATCTTCTCCTTAATTATTTTATATTGATGATTTATTGATTAGGGGCCACCTACAGACATTTTAGACGTTCACTAATTTTATCAATAATCAGTTAACACTTTCTTTTCAAGGTAGATTATTTCTTAGGATGCTTTCCATAAATTTTATACCTATGTAAGGGAATTCCTGTTATTTTATTCAGGTGATATTTCTTTATTCCCTAATTCTAAAGAGTATAACTTAAGACCTATATATGTATTTAATATAATTGTAAACTATACTCCTTGGTGCATAAAGGCAAAACAGAAACTAATATATATATATATATTACACACACACACATATATATAATATATATACACACATATATTCTCTCTCTCTCTCCCCTCCCCTCCATATACCCCTACATTGGTACCTCATATGCCAAAAGTAAAAGTAAGGAAAGTCAAGAAGAAAACAGTTGTAATTGACTAGTACATAAGGAAGATAGTAAGTTAGAATAGAAGTTGATTCATAAAGCAGCAATGAAATATGTTACTATGTATTCCTTGACCTGTGTTCATTAATAGCTGTTGACCTCATGCTTCCTTATGCATCCAAGCTTTGATTTCTATAACATCACCTCTCCTAGCTCTCCTATGTCTCACTCATGGGTACCAAAGCAGAGCATGCAAGACCCCCACAATCTGCTCCCGCTGCTCTTTCAGCTTCATCTCTCATTTCTGCCTTGCCAATATCCATCAAACCAAAAACACCAAAAACATCCCCCCAAATATAAGGCTGCTTCAGCTTCCATACCTAGTGCATTTTTTTTACACACTTGTAATAGTCTTTGACCACATCACCATCCCTCCCATAGATGCACAGCCTCTGTCCCCAGATTTTGTGGGGAATTCAGAGAAAAGGCAAGTGGGGTGTGCAACCTCTTATAGCTCTTGGGCCAGCTTAGCCAATTCAAATGTGACAAAGTCTAAATAAGGAAACAAAATAAGAACGCATTCATGTTAGGCCCCAAGGGGAACCACAATATGAAATGGTCTTACATGAGTAAAAGAAAACAAAGCATAAAGGAATGAGAGTTTTATTTGGTACTGAACCCATGTGCTCCAATATGGACAAATCGGATGCAAAAAAGAAAAAAAAAGGATTCAATTTAGGATGAACACTGACAAGTGCAATTTGTCCTTTGAGATTTTACTCAGGAACCTATGTAGCCATCCCCGCATTCCCCACTGCCCCAAGATATTATCAGCTGCTCCTATTGCACTGCCTTTTGTATTCACCTCTTGGCACCAAAGACTATATATAAAAAACACTTGTTTAAAGTCTACCTTTACTACACTGACCTCCATCAAGGAAGGGCCCCTTTCTAATTCACCTTTTCTTACCCAAAAGATTGGGCAGAGCACATATGGATTACCCGTAATAAATATAATAGATGAAAAGAAACAAAAGAATAAAATGTATTCCCAAGAGAAATTCTGAGTTGAGAAAGAAACTCTTGAGGAATTTCTTGGTGGAAGACCTCATTTATCTCAATGAGATCAAAGGTGGAAAGTCTACAGAAAGAAAGGCAAAGACAACTGTGGAGTGGAGAAGAAACAGAAGACCTGGTCATATGCACTACAGGAAACTAGATAAGGAGTTAACAATGAATGCATCAGTAAAGGGATTTGCCTGTATTAAGGTTCCACGGAGTGCTTATGATTCGTGTTCATCTGGGTGCATGGGAAAGCCTTCTGTAGCCCATCTATGGTTTTCAAAGTTTCTAAATTACTTCTAAAAGCTCTATTTAAATGGGCGCCTGGGTGGCTCAGTCAGTTAAGCATCTGCCTTCGGCTCAGGTCATGATCCCAGGGTCCTGGGATTGAGCCCCGCATTGGGCTCCCTGCGGGAGGCCTGCTTCTCCCTCTCTTACTCCCCTTGCTTGTGTTCCTTCTCTCGCTGTGTCTGTCTCTGTCAAATAAATAAATAAAATCTTAAAAAAAAAAAGTCATTAAAAGCTCAATTTAACCCAAACTTGCTGAAGGTTGAAATGGAACTTAGTGGAAAGTAAGGTAAGAAGGGTGGGGAAATCCAGGTAAGAGAAACCAGTCTCAAGACAGAAAGGAAACACAGCAATGACAAGAAAAAAAAGAAAAGAAAAGAAAAGATCATCAAATATAGCAACCCCCCCCTCCCCCCCGCCTTCTAGAGACTGTTTTCAGGTCTCCTTACTGTCTTGTTTGCTGACCAGACAACAGTCAAGTCTGTTCATGCCCCTGTTAGAGGCACTCGTACCCTTGCCCCAGAAGCAATCTTGTCCACTCAGTATTGAGTGAAACTATTTCCTTCCTCACCCTGTTAACATGGTCTGAGGCTTCATTAGCTTCAAGACATTCATGGATAAATTATTCATGATTTTTATTGGTGAGTGCAAAGGTCCACCTTACGTAGGGCTTTGGGCAAAGCGTGAATTTGTGGACTGCAGTGAAGTAAAGTTAAAACTTTTATGAACAAGGTCAGTAATGTACAAAAAGACAGACTGTCTCCCAGGACTGAGTTCAGTGCTTGATGGGAGCCTAAAGCAAAACCATTTAAAAACTTGTTTTTAGGGGCGCCTGGGTGGCTCAGTCGGTTAAGCGGCTGCCTTCGGCTCAGGTCATGATCCCAGGGTCCTGGGATCGAGCCCCGCATTGGGCTTCCTGCTCAGCAGAGAGCCTGCTTCTCCCTCTCCCTCTGCCTGCCACTCTGCCTACTTGTGCTATCTCTCTGTCAAATAAAGAAATTAAAAAAAATCTTTAAAAAAATTTTGTTTTTAAATATCAACAAAAGACAGACTGTTAGCATCAAAAGAGAAAAACGGGAGTCTGAGTGGTATAACTTAGATGATTTTATCCATCTACATATGCAAGAGACATGGAAGGTGGAGTTCAGGAGAACTCCTAGATACAGCCACCCTCTGCTCTGGACGAGACATTCCAATAGCATCTGTCTCTCTCCCTTCTAATTCCTAACACAGGAACCAGTCCATTGACTATGAATACACCAAACAGTAACAACCCCACTACAAGTCAATAAATGATCACACTGATCACATACACTGTCACTCATCTTTAGTGTATAATTCCCTCTAATGCTACTTCTCACTATAAACATTTTTAACAAACTTGTTTGCTCTACCCATTAATTAGCCTCTTCTAACTTCGGGAATCAAATCATCTCAGGGTGTAATGGAAAAGTGGCATTTCTTATCCTACAAGGTAAGAAATCCAGAAACATGTTTTTACCAAGGTGTATTTGGATTTCCCGGAGTCTGTTAAAGCAACATGTAACAAAATCGTACTGTTTGGAAACTCGTTACGCTGATATTTCTCATTTTCATTTAGTACTTATTTAGCATTTCCTTTGTTCCAGTCCCTGTCCAGTTACTCAATGATTACTAACTCAGGGAATTTCCCATGATTACAGAGGAGATAGGTTCTGTTATTACCCCCATTTTATGTAGGAGAAAACAGAGGCACTCAGAAGATTAAATAAGTTCACCTCAGTTAACAGAGCCAAGATTCAAAGCCACAGAGCCTACCTGCAGTATGTGCTGGTAACAGCTGTCAAGCTGTTTCTCATGGGAGCAATGCTACGTTTGGAACTTTAATGCACAACTTTACGGCCAAAGTCATTATTTTACATGTCTCTCCTTTTAGCATTTTACAATAGTGTAAAACATAAACTTATTATTCTTTGCTGTCAGATACAAAAGAATATCTTACCAGTTATCTCTGTTATCACAGAAAAGAATATCGGTGAAAAAGGACACAGGTTTAGATGATCTGAAGCTGAGGTGGCAGGTGAGCTCCGCATTCATTCCACTGGGAGAGCCTGTGATGACTCTGCCTTTTGGAAACGTCACAGAAAGAGGATGAACCTCGTCCCCATCAAAAAGTCTTGCTGGGGGAATCTGGACATTTAACGTTGAGTCTCTGTTTAAAATTTAAAAAAAAAAAAAGCTCAAAATACATGCAAATAATTGGATTTAAATGTGTCTTCCTCTGATTTTTGAATCATTAGAACAACTAAACAAGAAATATTTGCAATAATATGCCCAACTATTAAAGATATTTTTGCATCATCTCTTATTTTCTGGCCACAATATAAGATGGATAATACATTAATTTGACCACATAGGATGATCCAAAATTCCTTCTGTCCTCTATGAATTAAAAAAAGAGGATTAAAACACCTGACTAAATACAATGTGTTTTTATCGATAGCCATGATATAGTGCTGTCCTTGTATGTATCCTTATAAAAATTTACCAAAACTTACCAATTTGCTAGCTAAAGCTTTAATGCATGTAGACTAAATATAATACTAACAGATGCATATACACACAAAAAATTTTTAGTGTGCATACTATTAAGCACTTATATACATATGTCATGAATAGTTTCTAATCATTACTTCTAGAAAATTCCACTTAATGTTCACATATTTCATTATATACCTATAATTTATTTAACCAATCTAAAATGTTTATTATTTCTAATAACACAGTATGTAGTATTGACTTTTAACTCTAACACTTGATAACTTTTAGTGGTCAGTTAATATTTAGCCATATTATTTTTAAAATTTTATTATATATGTAGGCTCCTATAACAAATAAGAAGTGTTATCAAATGGGAATCATATTTCCCTAGTATGTTAATTACAATGAAGATCATTCTGCTAATTAACTTAAAAAAGTAAAGAAAGATCTCAACTTCAGTTACTTAAACTGATATGGTTCATTGCATTAAAAAATTAAAAATGTTATTTATAAATCAGGTTTGAATCCAATTCTGTTAAGTAGCTAAGTGTCATTGGATAAGTCATTAATGCTGTTGATCTTATTGTGCATACAATGAGGAGACTGGGTTATATCATGTCTACAGTCACTGTTACATGTTCCTTTCATTATACCGCATTTTTTCAAGATTCAACTTTTGACGTGAGATCATTTTTAAATTGATACCTTTATACATTCATTCAGAAGTTGAAAGAGTAAAACATTAATCCATATATTAGACAATGTTTCTTGATAAAAAAATACTTTTTAGCACAATATATTTCAAGTCACTTCTATTTTCTGTGTAAGCAACAGGATTAGTGTCTGCTTATGAGACAGGGTCTTGAAAGAACTGGGAATCCCAAAGTTGTCCAGTTAATGCTGAGCAACTATATACTCTTGTCACCAAATGGCATTCAGAGCAAGCTCTAAAGTGTAAGTAAGCACTCATCATATTCTGCAGGCCAAACGTGAGAAACTACAGGTTGCTCTGGGCTCCACAACTTGAATAATATCCATTTATTTTCAACCTTGGGAGAGTCCCAAGCTGACTCCATGCTGAGCGCAGAACCCAACATGGGGTTTGATCTCATGACCCTGAGATCAACACCTGAGCTGAGATCAAGACGGAGGCTTAACCAGCTGAGCCATCCAGGTACCCCAGTGCTATGTATTTTAAATAGTGAACTTATATGTGTCTATTTTGATAAATGATCTTCATAGCTTTAAAATTTTACCTGTAGATTCTTTTAATTTCCTATATGGAAAATCATCTAATCTATAGATAATGACAGTGTTTATTTTCCTTTCCTTACATATTTTATTTTTATTAACTTCATTCATGGACTACATTTTTCAGGAAAATGTGTTAGACAGTGATAATAGACATCCTTGCCTTTTCTTTTTTATTTAAAGGGAATTAATTTATGTTCCAGTATCCATGATAATGTCTCTTCTAGATACATGATAGAAAATTTTAACAATTTAAGGGATATCTCTTTTATTCCTGTTATTAAGAGTTTTATCATGAATGGTTTTGGAATTTTACCAAATGCTTTTCTTCTGCATCTATGGAAATGATCATATCATTATTCTCTTTAATTTGTAAATGTGGGAGATGAAATACAAAGGTATTTTAGATTTTCTAACATTAGGCAAATCTTGCAATACTGGAATACACCCAAGTTGGTCATGATTTATTAATATATTTGTATTATATATGTAATATACATTATATTAATATGTATACATAATTTAATTCACTAAGGATTACTGCATCTATAGTCAAAAGAGAGATTGGCCTATAATTTATCTTTCTCATACTGTAATTATCTAATTTTATAATAAAACTTTCTGACTTCATAAAACAAATTAGAGCACATCGTCTTTTTCTCTTGTCTAGAATTTCTACAAGGTTTGAGATATCAGTTTCTTGCAAATTTAGTAAAACTTGCCTGTAAAAACATCAGAAGATGAGGGCGCCTGGGTGGCTCAGTTGGTTAAGTGACTGCCTTCGGCTCGGGTCATGATCCTGGAGTCCCAGGATCGAGTCCCACATCGGGCTCCCTGCTCAGCAGGGAGTCTGCCTCTCTCTCTGACCCTCCCCCCTCTCATGCTCTCTATCTCATTCTCTCTCTCAAATAAATAAATAAAATCTTTAAAAAAAAAATCAGAAGATGATATTTTCCTTGTAAGAAGATTTTAAATATTGATTCAAAGACTTTTGACTTTCTATGTATTCCCAGTATGGTTTTAGTGAATTATATTTTTTCTACAAACTTCCCATTTAAGTTTTCAAATGTGTTGGAATAAATTTCTTCATAGTATTTTGATTATCTCATTTTTCTCCACTGGATATATAATATGCCCCATTATTCTTAATACTATTTAGTTGTATCTTCTCTCTTTTTGTTCCTTGTCAATATCACTGTATCAGTATCCATTGTATTAGTTTTTCAAAGAACCAACTTTCAGGTTCAGTGAGTCTATTTTCTATATATTTGCTTTCTATTGCTTTTATTTCTACTTTTTCATTTTATCTACATTCTATATTCCTTAGGTTTAATCTAATTATTCTTATTCTTATTTATTAGGTTGAATACTTGAAACTTCTAATCATTTTTTATCTACTATCAGCATTTAAGACTACACATTTCCATCTAAATACCATTTTTGCTACATTCCATAAGTATATTTATTTGTTTATTGCTTAACCACTGGAATTTAATATAACAGATGCAGTTAACTCAACACAGATGCAGGCTTACTTGTCTAAAGAAAGCAACAGAAGTGACAGTATGCGTTTCAAGTTAAGTCTTCAAATTTAATACTCAAACACTGCTTTTATATCAGTGAATGTTGTTTTCATATTTTGATACATGGTATTTTAATTATTATTTATTTGCAGAATTCAGTATGGTATCTTCTTTGACTCTCTATAGAAGATTTTTTTAGGGGGCACCTGGATGGCTCAGCCATTTGAGTGTCTGACTCCTGATTTTGGCTCATGTCATGATCTCAGAGTCATGAGATCAAGCCCCTTGTCAGGCTCTACACTCAATGCAGGGTATGCTTGAGAGTCTCCCTCTCCCTCTGACCCTCCCCCCACTCACATGTGTGCTCTCTCTCTCTCTCTAAAATTTAAAAAAAGGCAAGTTTTTTTTAAGCAGTTCCAAATGTATGGCAAATCTGTTAATATTTTCTTTAATGATTTTAAAATTATAATTATTATCAGAAAACATAGTATATATGATGTCAACTCTTCAAAATTTGTTAAATTTGACGGGTGCCTGGTGATACAGTTGGTTAAGCATCCAACTCTTGGTTTCGGCTCAGGTTCTGATCTCAGGATTGTGAGACTGAGGCCTGAGTCAGGCTCTGTGCTCAATGGGGAGTCTGCTTGGGATTCTCTCTATCCTTCTGCCCCTCCCCACTCCCCACTCATGCTCTCTCTCTCTACAAAATATATGATCTTTTTTAAAAAAACTGTTAAATTTGAACTATAGAATGATACACTTTCAGTCTTTGTAAATATCTCCTATATGATAGAGAAAACTGTGTATTCTATAACTGCAGGGTGCAGTACTTTATAGTACTATTTTTAATATTACTTTTATTTTTTTTTTTAAAGATTTTACTTATTTATTTGACAGAGAGAGAGACAGTGAGAGAGGGAACACAAGCAGGGGGAGTGGGAGAGCGAGAAGCAGGCTTCCCGCTGAGCAAGGAGCCCGATGCGGGGCTCGATCCCAGGACCCTGGGATCATGACCTGAGCCGAAGGCAGACGCTTAACGACTGAGCCACCCAGAAGCCCCTAATACTACTTTTAGTATTTTTAATAATATTAGTAAATGAATGAAGCCTTTAAAATATCCTTTTCAAATTTCCTTTATCTATACAAGTGTTTTTGTCTTTTGGACTCAATAATTGAGGTATGTGTTGAAATATCCTACAGTGATGAAGGACTAGTCAATTTCCCCCTATAATTTTAATTTGGGGTTTATATATTTTAAGACTATTTTAGCTGTGCATACAGTTTTAGAATTCTGATAGTTTTCAGGTGAGCTGCATCTTTTATAATTATTTAATGTATTTTTAATATTAAAAATACGTCTTACCTCTTAAATAAGGTTATCACATGTAAAATTAATACTGCTATCCAGCTTTCTTACAGTTATTCTGCTATAACTGTTCCTAAGATTTTAGTTTGGTGGTTCTCAACTGGGCGTGGTTCTGCATCCCAAGGGACATGCAGCAATGTGTGGAGACTTTTTTTTTCTGTCATAACTGGGGGAAGATGCTACTGGTTAGAGACCAGGGAGGCTGCTAAACATCCTACTATGTACAAAATAGCCTCCAGTGAAAAAACAGAAGTATCTTTCCAAAAATGTCAACAGTTCTGAAGTTGAGAAACCCTGCTTTACTTCAATCTTTCTTGTCCTTCTGTCTCACATATACTTCTTTTAACAGTTAGATTTTTTTTTTAATTTACTCTAACATTCTCTGTCTTTTAACTAGTCAGAGTAACTTACTTACATTCAATTGTATTACTCAACTACTTAGAGTTTTTGCCATCTTTTTTGTTTCAGGTTTTTCTTGCTTTTTAAAGTATGCATCTCTTTTTCTCTCTTACAAAATTAACCGAGATTCTGTTGATTTCTATACTGTTTGTGAAGTTATATACAATCTTAGGTTTGTGGATGCCCTTAAAAATTTACCCTACACACTTTGTTTTAAAATTCCTAAAAGTTATTATATTTGGTTCATTTTCAAGTCTATATTGTATAATTCCATGTTCATTACTAATTTTTATAATGCGACTTGTTTTAAAAAATTATTTATACTCTGTGTCTGATAACTCCAATATCTGACTGACTTCAGAGTCTAAATTTCAAGATGGTTTTTTGTGCTGACTCTAAATGATGGTATCTTCCCTTGTGAGTTTTGCAATACTTGATATTACACTCATGTCTGGTTGATAGCAATTGTGGAAACTGAAGTATCAGCCAAAACTGAGGATGGCTTCATTTAGAACAGAGGTTCACAAAGTGTGGTCCAGCAGTATAAGTATCATTTGGAAACTTACTAGAAATACAAATTATTACATACCATGCCAGGCTTGCTGAATCATAAATTCTGGGGATGGGAAGCAACAACCTCTGTTTTAAAAAGCGTCTCAGGTGATGCTGATATACACCAACGTTTAAGAACCACTGATCTAGAGAAGATTTGCTTGCTTCTGCTGAAAGGTAGAGGGATTTACTCACGTGAACTATTTTAGCCTCTTCCAGTGTCCCTGGATTAATCCAGGCATTTGAGATTGTTTCCCTACCTTGAAGAAGTTGTTTCAAGTTTTAAGAACAAGCTTGCATTTGGCAGATTATTACAGCTCACCACTCCTACTCTGGTTTCAGCTTGTAAGTATGTACTGGTTTGGTCTGGTTTGATCTGAGCCCTTTGGAGACCTCCCACATTTCTCAGAAGCCAGCAGTTAATTAATTAACTAATTAATTAAACACACACATAATCTACTTGTTTTGTAATAAGAGGGTACATAATGTATCTAGGGCAATATACTATTAGGGTTTGGGATGCTGATAAATTTTTTTAAAAAATGAAAACAGTCGGCATTCTGCTATACTATGTACATATGATAGGCAGAATTCTGAGATGGTCCCCAAGAGCCTTAGTGTACATACAAACTCTCTAATTCCCACCCCTTGGGTGGCAGAATCTGTAAATATGATATCACTCTGGTGAATCAGCTGTGTTATACAGCCATGGTAAAGGGACTTTCCATATGTAATTGACATCCCTAGTTAAATAAATTCAAGTAAAGCAAAAGGAAGATTATCATGGGTGGATTAGACTTAATCAGGTAAGATCTTAAAAGAAGGTTTGGAGGTCAGAGACTGAGAAGTCAAAAGATGGTCACTTCTGGCTTTCACTGAGTAAAGTACCATGATGGGAGGAGGATTTGGCCAGGATGTGAGGGTGGCCTCTAAGAGCTGAGAGTGATCCCAGCCAACAGCCAGCAAGAAAATGATACCTTAGTTCTACAACTAAACAGATTAATCTGCCTACTACCAGAAAGCTTGCAGGAGGACTGAGCCTCAGATGAGACAGCTGCTATAGTCTGTACCTTGAGAACATAAACAGTGGATGCAGCTAAACAAACCTGGATTTCTGACCCAAAGAAATTATGAGACAACAAATTTCTGTTTTAAGGCACTAAGTTTGTGGTAATTTGTCACATAGAAATAAAAAGCTTGCTTCTTGTACCATGAAGAGAGACATATCAAAATTTTTTACAAGAAAATCAAATGACTAATTGTGAGGTAATTAAGTGGGCTTTAAATGAAAATGTGGTAAATTTACATTAAGCATTTACCTGAAATAGTTTTGGGGTAAAATGTTGATATCCATTACAGTTGTTACATCCAGAGGAACAGGAGTAAAAAATATGAATGGAGGGTCAAACAATAACATGGGTGATTTCACCTCTCCAACCAAACATAACGTTCGATAGCCAACTGGATTATCATTTAGACGAATGGGAATATCAGCTGTGTATTTTCTAGGATGATCTAATGAAAAACAATTTTTTAAAAGTATCTTAGATTTGTTCACATACACAAAAAACATTTACATAGTTTAAACTTTACTTAATATTAAAATGTACTATGAGGTTACAGCCCAGTGGAGAATAGATTACCCAGAAACTGGAATTATCCTGCCAAGGAACTTAAAACATGTTAATGAAGTGTCACTGAATCAAAAATATTCTAAAGTGCACTATGCCTAGAAATAGGGCAGATCTCCTTAAAGCAAATTTTCGTTATTACTGGAAAATACCTATACCTGGAGGAAACAGCGCAACAGGACTTCTTTTTTTGATTCTTTTCTGTGCCTTAACAGGAGCTGCCCGTCCCTTTAGTATATGCAGTATGAAGATGAGGTCAGATAGTTGCCATAAGGATTTCAGGGGACTAGTACTGTGAAATGGGTGTGCCGAGAAAAAAGGAATGTTGTTCCTCCCAGATTTTTAAGTTTATGGAAAGCTGCCAGGGTTGACTGGCCAATCTCACCTGGTAGGAAAAGACAGGAAATTCCCATGTGGCAACTCACTATGAGGTAAGGCAGTCTGTGTTGGAGAAAAGGGCTCAGCATCTGAGGCTGCAGCCTAGTCCCAGACAACAGGTTCCATCTCAGCAAGCCGCCAACGCCCTTTTCGACCCAAATGCCCCAAAACAGTGTCTCGTAAAGAGAAAAATATGATCTGGTGAGTATGAACTCAAGGTAGTATCTTAGAATTCAAAAACTAGACACCAGAATGACCTGGCACAGATCAGGGCCACCAAGAGTATCACCAGAGCACATGATGAGTGTTCTGGATGATGCATGTTCAAAGGTGACACACTGTGAACCACACACAAAAACAAGGTATCATTGAACTGATCATACCCACTAGATTTCTCTGTGCTGGGTGCCTTCACTTGGCCCAATCAGTCTTTTACTTGTTCATATAGTCTAGGATCCTTGGAAAATGAGAGGTGGCTGGAGAGGGAAGTGAATTAGTGACTTCCTACTAATAATGACAGATGAACACTGGAAAGACTTTGTGAAAACATGAGAGACTATATCTATATCTTGAGCTGAGAAAAGGAGTTATAATAGAATTTATGTGTTTAAAACTGTAAATCTATAGAGAAATGATTGTTTCATTTAATGAACCTGATATTGTAAAATTTATTTTGGGGAGAAAGAAAATCAAGTTCATTACTTCCAAAGTTAAGCAAGGTTTTAATTAGGACTTACTGAATTCTGAATTTTGAATGGGCTATTTTGAGATTATTTCTGGGTTTCACACCTGGTAAACGTTTCTGGGGTCATGGAGAAGGGGATTCTCTGTGTAACCTAAGACTACTGGACATTCGGTAACACGTTTTTCTAAGCTCAGGTGGTCCTTCTCTCTCATCTGAGATGTAAGTTATATAAATGTGTTACAGATACGTTTTTCTCAAGAGTGAGGTTGAAATCCTAAGAAGGCAACTCATAGATTTGACTGCTTAGGCTTAGCCCCATACTGAAGGAAAAGTCAAATGGAAATGCTACTTATTTCCTTCTAGATTATCTATTTTATTTCATCTGGATAAAAATGTTGATACAGACATAAAGGAGAAGCTCTATACGGAAATACATATGGTGGCTTTAGCGGGACTGGCTTTCCTGTAATTTCTTTCAGGACCAGACATAACAGAAACTGAGAAGAAATACACAGAAATACATAATGAAACCTAATTATTTTTACAAAATAAACTTCAGAATGGGGAGAGTATACGATGTTTTCTATTATATTTTCAGAGTTCTAAACAGAGCTAATAAAAGATGAAACATTTTTCAAATCTATCAATCACAGTACTCTATGTACTGTTTCTTGCCATTAAAACTAAAATGATTAGAAAACGCCACGCTGAAAAAAACAAAAAACTAAAATGTCATGCTAATAGAGGTACAAGGACACGGAGTTAAGGCAACGCAGTGCTAATAGCATATTACTGAGAAAATATACAGCTGAATGAAATCTAAAAAGCTTAAAAGCCATAATGGGTTCTTATTCTGCCTTTCCTGTTGATAACATAGCTAGTTCTTGGTATTTCATTTAGATTGCCACATTTGTTTTAGATGTGTAAAACAGTACCATCCCAAGGATTCTGACGCAAGTGATTTATGGAGGGAATGCCCTCAGGAAGAACCTGTATATAAGTGAAGAAGGAAACAAAACAGAGGAGGGCAAGAAGTTATGAAAAGGTGCAGTTTTATAATCCAGATTCAAACATACGCAGCTACGGGATGTGAATTCACCAGATAGGTTGTCCCAGCTGAGGGAGAGTTAGTTGGGCCAGCTGAGGTAGTAGCGCTGGTGAAGCTTACCCTCCTAGATACCTCCTTCCGCTAAGGGCAACCTTCTAGAGAAAGGGACAGATATAGCCCGTCAGAAGCCAATACCCACAACTGAGAGATGGATGGGAATACCCAGTAATGGGAATCTGGATGGGCCCAAACAGCATATAGCAGAGACTGCACTCCTAATGTTGCTTTGTAAGTAAGAATAATTAAGAATAATAATAGGTAAGTTACTGTAACACCCTTTTAAATAGAAAAATAGTCTGGAAATGGCATTTGGTGTGCTTATTTAGTTTGGGCATATAAACTGTAAAGATACTGAAGCAGATGCTTCAAAATAAAGACAAATACCAGGATAGAGTTCCTCAAAAAGGAGAAAAAAAAAATCTTCATAGATGTGTTTTCAAGCACCTTCCTGCTGTTCCTTTGCTTCAGTCTGCTTAAAGAAGCTAGTTGTCAATACCCTCACTTCCTGAAGCTCATTACCAGAAAAATTCTATATTTTTATGCAGCAGGGATTCTCATGTTGGGAATTTTCTAAGTTATGTGCCCCCTGGGTTGTGAAACATTGAAGCTGTTTACATGAGAACTGAGAACAATCTTATTCAAGGAAAGTGAGAGTCTACCCACCCAAATTAGATTCAAGAACAATGCTTTGGATTCAGAAGGGATTGGAGATTCGCTTAGAGATCAGTATGGGTCACATATTCTATCACAGCCCCAGCCACTGTCCCTGTGGGGGTCCAAGGAAGAGATAAGAAAGGGGGAGTGAAAAGTAAAAACCACCTCACTAAAACTCTTGAAGGCCCTGACCTTATAAGGCAGCTCTGCGTGGTGGCCAGTATAACAGGTCTAGCCATGTGGAGTTATGTAGATCCACATGACTTAGGTGATATTGATGGCCAAGGATGTGTCTACAAGGCAAAGAAAAGAGAATGAGACATAAAGGCCCTGACCATGGCTTGGGATAAGAGGCTTACACCACAGTCAGATTACAAGAAAAGAAAAGGGCAGAAGAAAAGTATAATCCATTCCTAATGCCTGCTAGAAGAAAATGGCAGATGCTACAGGATAGCCCAAAGAACAAGGCCAAGATCTTACCGGTATAACTGAAAAAAATCCTAAGTCAATAATGAATGATCCATACACATGCAAAAAAAAAGGTTGTCAACAGAAACTGTCCCTGAGAAAGTTCAAGCATTGGACATATATACATATGAATATACATAAACATATATTTAAGTTGTGGAGTTGAAAAATACAATGACTGAAATGAAAAATTCACTATAGGGATTCAACAGTAGATTTGAACTAGCTAAACAAAGAATCAGCCAACATCAAAAAATGTCAGTTGAATTTACTGATTCTAAGGAACAGAAAGAGAAAAGGCTTTGATTTGTCTTTAGCTGAAGATGGTATTTAAGCCTGAATTTTAAGCCACTTCTGAGACTTACTCATTTTCCCGAGTTATCTCCCATATATACATGAAATATACATGTATACATGAAATATACATGTTAATAAACTTGTTTTCCAAAAAAGAATGAAAAATGAACAGAGCCTCAGAGATCTATAGGGCATCATGAGGAATACCAATATATGCAAAATAAGAATCCATGGGATGGAGAAGAGACGGAGAGGGAGAAACACTGTTTGAAGAAATAATGGCCAAAAGCATCCAAAATTTAGTTTAAAAAATTTAATTAAAAATTTAATTAAAAAAACATTAATCTAAACATGTAAGAATTTCAGTGAACTAAAGTAGTAATCAAAAAACTTCTCACACAGAACAGCCAAAACTCAAATGCACTCATTGGTGAAATCTACTAAACATTTTGTGAAGAATTAATATCAATCGCTATATAAATATCTTTATATTAATATATATATTAATATGTATGAATATGAGTACTTCCCAAGACATTCTCTAAGACCACAGTAACAGAAATGAACACTTCTGTTTATGGCCAATTGATTTTGAACAAGGGTACCGAGACAATTCAATGAGGAAGCAATATTCTTTTCAATAAATGGTGCTGGTACAAGTAGATATACCCATGCAGAAAAATGAGGATGGAGCCCTACCTTACACCATATTAAAAAAAAATAACTCAAAATAAGCCACAGACTTAAATGTAAGAGGTAAAATTACAAGAATTTAGGAGAAAACATAAGAATAATTCACCATGACCTCGGGTTATGTAATGTTTTCACAGATATAACACTGAAGGGGCACCTGGGTGTCTCAGTTGTTAAGAATCTGCCTTTGGCTCAGGTCATAATCTCAGGGTCCTGGAATCGAGCCCCACATCAGGCTCCCTGCTCAGCGGGGAGTCTGCTTCTCCCTCTCCCTCTACTCCTGCCCCTGCTCATGTTCTCTAATAAATAAATAAAATCTTTAAGAAGAAAAAAAGATATACACTGAAAAGCCAAAGTAACAAAAGAAAAATTAGATAAATTAGACTTCATCAAAATTGAACTATTTTCCATTAGTTGAAAAGAGAAATCTCAGAATGAAATAAAATATTTTCAAATTGCATATCTAACAAAGTAATTTTATTCAGAATATAAAAAGAACAGTGACAACTCAAAAATAAAAAGACAGCCAAATTTCAAAATCAACAAATGTTTCAAACAGACCTTTCTCCAAAGATGACATACAAACTGACAATAGGCACATGTAAAGGTACTCAGCATCATTAGTCATCAGGGAAAAGCAAATAATAACTACAATGACCTATTACTTCATACTCACTAGGCTAGCTATAATAAAAAAGATTACAAGAAGAGTTAGCAAGGATGTGGAGAAATTGGAACCCTCATTCATTGCTGATAAGATTTTAAATTGTTAAAATTGCTTTGTAAAACAGTTTGACAGTTTCTTAAAATGTTAAACATGGGTGGCTCAGTCGGCTAAGCGTCTGCCTTCGGCTCAGGTCAGGATCCTGGGGTCCTGGGATCGAGTCCTGCATCAGGCTCCCTGCTCAGCGGGGAGTCTGCTTCTCCCTCTGCCCCTCTCCCCTGCTCATGCTCTCTCTCTCTTGCAAAAATAAATAAAATATTAAAAAAATATAATAAACATCAAATTATCCTATGACCCAACAATTCCACTCCAAGATACATAACCAAATAAATGAAAACATGTGTCCTCACAGAATTGTACATGAATGTTCATAGCTGTTCTATTCATAAAAGCCAAAAAAGTAGAAATGATCGAAATGTCCATCAAATTTTAATAGTTGTAATTAAAAAATCACACTTTTAAAAATAATCACATCTGAGTGTGAATTTTATCTTTATAGTATCTAATCTAAAATATAAGAATTTAAGGCAAAATAGAAGGCATCTTCTTCCTCTCCTAGTAGTATCCCCATTTAAATGAACAATAAAAACAACTGAGAAAACCAGAAAATAAATGCATACTTGATTTGGAAAGAACTACTAAGGCAAAGTTAAAAGGGCTCTATTCAGCTCCATATGAGCCAGGAAAAGTAAAAATTGTCTGCACTAGAAGAAAATAAATGAGGGTGACCAAAAGATCAAGGAGGTACTACCCTGGTCCCAACTCAAAAGGCCCCTATAACTCAACTCCAACTCCCCGAAGATTCCATTCTCCATCCAGCTGTTTAATTCTGAAGAACCCAGCACTCTTCATCCAACCTGTTGGCTTTGATCTGCTAGAGTCTTGCCCCCGCTACCTCAATGCCTTAGAGATGGAAAAGACTCCAGCCCACTGATCAAGCAGTAGGAGGAATGGAATGATGCAGTTAGTGTGTAAACACACTAAATGGAAATAAAATTCCAAAGTATTTCAACAATTTCTTGAGTAAGAAATAAACCCATACTATAATTTTGTCTGTGGGCAAGTTCATGAATACTCTTCCATCATAGAACAGATAGGAAAATATGTGTCCAAAAAGGTATTGTTTTCAAAGGTTTAAAGATGATATAGAGAAGAGAAATAAGATGTATAGTATATAAAACAAAAATTTGATCAATAGATAAAATTTATGAAAAATAATAAAAAATATAAAGGAAATATGAAATGAAACTGCCAGAAAATGAATATATATTATAACACAAAATATGAATAAGTTAAATTCCCCTCCTAAAAATCACATTTCAGTCTTGCTCAGGAAGAAAAGCAAGGTTCTTTGCTTTGCAATACTGGTCTTAAATTTAAAAGACACAGACTGAAAATAAAATGATATATCAACCAAAGGCTGACAAATGGAAGACAAAGTGGCAATGTATCACATAAATAGCATTCAAGCAAATAGCATTTAGTAGAAAAAAGAACATTATTTTAAATGTATATAATTATTTATAAAATATATATAAGATAAACTTTTTATAACATACAAAGATACAAAGCAAAACTACTAGAATCGAAAAAGTTTTAACAAACTGCCATTGTAGTAACAGGTTCAGATAGATTATACTAACAATTGTAATGCAATTGTAATATAAATGTAATGTAGCAACATCGTATTAACAGATTCAGGAGGAGAATAAGGCAGAGAAAGATACTTTCAATGAAGAAACAAATTCATTAGTTACTATGATTTTAGATTATAAAACTATTTACTTAAAAAACAACACAGAATAGTCTTTGAAAAACTTCCAGATCTAAACAGAGAAGTTCAGTATAGGAGCCAAGAGCCACATAAACTATAAATATATTCCTTTTATATAGTGATAGGTAATTAAAAAGAATTTAAAAATTCTCATTCACAATGACGCATATAAAATAAACTTTCATTACTAGAAAAACACGCTATTCTTTGAAGGGAAAAACTCAATTGTATGCCTTTTTCTAGAAAGAGGAAAAAAATAATGTATAGTTCATTTAGAAAAGTAAATGTGTAAGAACGGCCAAGAATTGTTGTGATAGGTTTGTAATGACAGAAAATTTGTCACACCAACTATAAAAAGGTACAGTAAAGTTGTTTAATAAAAAACACCAGTAAAGAAGTGGACGTATAGATAAATAGACATGCTGACCAGCTTCCCCCAAAGCAAGTAACCTAAGAGTACAAGCTAGATGTGGCAATGCGTAGTCTGACCTAACCTTGGAAGTCACAAACCATCACACCCATAATATCCCATGGGTGATATATCAGTCCTATTTGATGTGGGAGGGGACTCTATAAGGGCATGAATACCAAGAGGTGAGGATCATTGGGGTTCATTTTGGGGGATGGTGACCACAAAATTCTAGTATGAAACTCTTAGAACTGTTTTAAGAACACATAAAAAAATAATCTAAACTTTTGTGTACATGAGAAAAATAGTATGTGAGGGATAAATTGATAGGAAATACAAGAAAAAAGTACTTACTTGGACAGAAACTTATGGAAATAGTACATTCTTCGTGTGGTTGCAGAATCCCACTCAGCACACTAATCTGGAATGTGCCATCTTTGAAAAGGTTCCCAGTGTCACTAATATCCAAAGTCCATTCCACATCTTGTTTTGAAGTATTATGTAAGACAAGATCCTGTTTACACACAAAATAAATAAATAAAAGACATCTATAAAAATTATAATATGCAATATAAAATTTAACTTGTTTTACCATGCCAACTTGAAGAACCTACGTACAAAGTTAAATGATTAACAGTGGAATTCATGGATAGTTTTAAAAAGTGATGTTAGGCATAAAAGGGGTATGCAAGTATGTTCATAGCCTATTAACAACTATGAAAAATACATAAAGGATAGAGACTGGGGTAAAATAAAAATGTCAAAATAGCTATGCTAGCTAGCAAGGATGTAGAGTAGCTACAACCTTCATTCATGATTGTGAGACTGTAAAATGGTACAGTCACTTTGGAAGACAGTTTGGCAGTTTCTTATAATGTTAAACATACAACTACCATATGACCCAGTAATCCCATTCCTAAATATTTACTTAAGCGAAAATTTATGCTCACATAAAAATCTGTACGTTAATGTTTATAATAACTTTGCTCATCGCCAAACAATAGAGGAAAAAAACCCAAGATTTCCTTCAAATAATGAATGGATAAACATTTTGTACAATGGAATAAAATTCAGTGATGAAGTGAAGTATTAATTCATACAAAAACATAAATGAATATTAAATATATTTTGCTAAGTGAAAGATGCCAGACCCAAATGGCTAAATTTTGTATAATTAAATTACCTGTCAATCTGGAAATGTAAAATTATGTGGATGGAAAAAAAGAATCAGTGGTTGCCAAGTGTTGGTGGGAGGAAGAGTAGCTGACTGAAAAGGGGTTACACTGAGAATTTGTAGTGTCGTGAAACTATTCTGTAATGTATTGAAGTGGTAGACAAATTATTCTACATATTTTTTAAAATCCATAGAACTGTATACTACTAAGAGCAGACTTAAATGTACGTAAATTAAAAACAATCAACCAAGATGTTGAGAATCCCAGGATGGATTGTAGATTACAACACGCTATATTACAAATGTATGAAATAATCTCACGGAAGTTAGTGGGGGTAGGAGGAACGGCCTAAGTAACAGAAAAACTGTGTTTTGACTGGAAACTATATAGCTAAAGACAAAAAAATTACTCTTTATGAACACTGTACTCTAGTTGGTAAACATGTTAGCAATTCCAGCTACAGGATAAAAATTGTGAAACTTCTTTACTAGCACACTAGTAAAAAATAAGCAAACAAATTATAAATAAGAGAACCAGATTTCTCATTGTCAGAGAAAGTAGTTAAAAAGGAGCAAGGAAGAAAGACTGGAACAAGCCTTGTGCTAGATTAGATTAGATTCAGAAATATCAGTTTGAACTCATCTTTAACCAGCTAGATAAACAGATGGATGATGAGATAGAATGATAGAGAAATTATAGATATATGTATATTTACAAGTTAGTATACATACAAATATTTCCTGATTCTATTTGCCAAAAGGGCTTACAACATGTGACACCCCAGTAGCAGCTAGCACATCTAGTGTACAGATCTTGGTTTCTAAATACCATTCTTCCATAAATGGTACTGGGGTTTGTTGGAGAAAATATTGATTCGAGAGCTAGGAAAAAAAAAAAAAAAAAAGATAAGCTGGACCATTTGGTAGTGCCAGAAAGTGTAAGAATGCTTAAAAATCATAATGATGGGGGACACCTGGGTGGCTCAGTCAGTTAAGCATCTGCCATCAGCTCAGGTCATGATCCTGTGGTCCTGGGATCGAGCCCTGCATCGGGCTCTCTGCTCAGTGGGGAGCCTGCTTGTATCTCTGTCTGCTGCTCCCCCTGCTTGTGTGCGTGCACTCTCTCTCTCTTTCTCTCTCTCTGACAAATAAATAAAATACTTAAAAAAATGATAATGAAGGAAGCATGTCAAAGGGCCAGTCTAAAAGAACTCTAAAGGGCCAGAGCTGGAACAAATTTAATAACAAAATAAATAATGTAATATTGGATTATAACTGAATGTATAAATATTTGTGAGGTCACACTGACATATTAAGCAATAAAATAACTAATAAAATAAACAAATTTTTCTTACAGAAAAATTTCAAATAATATATATAAATACCCCCCTCCAGAGGGTGCAGCTTGACCCCCAACACCTTGAGTGTAGGCTGAAATTGACAAGTCACTTCTAAAATGCAGAGTATGAAAAAACAAAATGTTTATCCAGCTTTTTTTCAATTCTCCTGACATATATCACCAGTGATATATGCTGATATCATGTACTCCCTTCACATGATGTGACAAAAAAGACATCTCACCTCTGTTACATTCTTCCCCAAAATCTATGAAAAATAAGAATGCAGTTGAGTCAGGTGGAAAAAATCAGACAAGCTAAAATTAAAGAACATTCTGAAACAATACCAAACCAGTACTCCTAAAAATTGACAAAGTCATAAAAAAATGAGCAAGACTGAGAGCCTGAGCCTGTCACATATAGAGGAAACTAAATGAAATATGATACCCTTGATTGGACCCTGACACAGTAAAAGGACATTACTAAAAAACTGGTAAAACCCAAATAGAATCTGTTGTCTAATAATTTTGTACTAATGTTAATTTCTTAGTTTTGAAAAATGTTATATGGTTCTATAACGTGTTAATAGGGAAAGTTGTGTGAATAATATACATAAACTCTCTGTACTGTGTTTGTAATGTTCTGGTAAATCTGGGAGCTATATGCATGACTTGTGTGCAGACTTGTCCTTCCAGTACAACATACTATTAAAATAAAACCTTCATCTAGGTATTGTTTTAACTTTACTTTTCAAAATTTGAAAAGTATAGAATGATCCATACAATTGGCACCACAACAAAATAATGTACTTCATCTCTTTCTAAAGTATGACTGATTTAAAATATTCAGGATTTTAAAATTAGTCAATTTTATTCCCAATGTCTCTCAGTACTTAAACATCTATTTAGGTCTAATATTTGCAGCTTATAAAGAAAACAACATCTTTTTAAAAAGAAGGTGGACATGAAATTGTACTAGTCATTTGAATGCCTTATTTTTCTCATTCTGAAATGAGGAAATGGTAGATCTCTAAAAATACTATCCACTTTCCAATCCTATCCCCAAGAATAGAACTGATACAGTCATCTATAAAGAAACACTGTTTGTATGTATCATATTGTGTTATTTTTTAAATAATTTTATCAAGATGATACATGTACACAGATTACACAAATAATTCAAAAATGCTTATAAAAAAACAGTTGTCCCAAACAAACAACAACAACGAAAAACAGTTGTCCCACTCAACTCCTCCTTATCAACAATTCTGCTTCCCTGAAGCAACCAATTTTAGCTAAATTTTGGATTTTCTCTAATCGTTATAGCCTGATTCTAAATACAACATTGATAAGGCTTACTTTAGTTTTCTTATTGCTGCCATAACAAATTACCACAAACTTAGTAGTTTAAACCAACACAAATTTATTAAATTACAGTCTTGTAGGTTAGAAGTTTAACAAGCATATCACTGGACTAAGATCAAGGTGTTAGAAGGAACTATGATACTTTCTGGAGGGGTCCAGAGAAGACTGTTTCCTTGCAATTCCCAGTTTCTAGAGGGCAAACACATTCTTTGGCTGGTGGCCTCCTTCCACTATCTTCATATCCAACAACATCATATGTCTCTACCCTTCTTCTGTCATCACATTTCCTTCTGAGCACAGTCAAGAAAGCTTCTCTGGTTTTAACCACTCATGTGATTCAACTGGGACCACCTAGACAATCTAGCATAATCTTCCTTGCTCAGGGGCCTTCATCTCCATCACATGACACGTCAGCAAAGTATCTTCTGCAATATAAGATAGTGTACTCACACATTCTAGGGATTGGAATTGGATAACTTTGGGGACCATTACTCTATCACATGGCTATTTCGTGATTTATCAGACCCAGATATTGTCTCCAGTGCCAACTAGTAAAGACGAGGATTTAGCTCATATATATAATCTTCCCTCCTCTGTCCACCTCCCAATTTTGGATATTTATATTATTTTAATTCTTTCATTAGTCCCCTGGTAGCTTAAAGCAGTATACTTATAACTCTAGTTCTTCTGTCAACTTTAGATAATTCCCTTTAATTACTCACTATGTAAAATGAGTTTCATTCTTCTTTCTTCTGTCAACTTAATCTTCACATACACGTTGTACATATCACACACTTGTCATTTTACATGTAATATACTATATATGATCAAATTTTAATTCTGCCCCATAAACATATTAAGCCTTCTCTGTATTATATATTTTATTATGACTATGTAAATATCATTCATGGCAAATCCAAGCAGTGCACTAGAGTCACATTTCCTTCTCTGTGGGGCCAGTGTGACTTTCACCACTCGAGAGAAGGCTCTTGTCTAGATCATCTTTTATTATGCCAAGTGAAAAAAATTTCAATGATATAAAATAATCTCCCATTTATAAAGCGATTGCTTTTCCTTTGGAATTCAATCCAATTCAGTTCACTAAATCTTCCTTTCTCGCCCCACATACAAAGCCTTTTGCATCCTTGAAGTTATGTTAGAGTTAGAAGTATTACTGACATTTTATACTTGAAACAGTCACATTTTAATTTCAGAAGAGAGCCTTTATTCTTCTCTAACTATAATTTCATATAGGACTCTGCTATTATTTGACACATGCGATGTTAAATACCTTCTCCATATAATTTTTCTTCAAAGCTACAGAGGTTCAAAATTAATTGCAGGAAGGCAATATATTAAGACAATAAAGGGGTACTACAAATACAAATTCCTACTATGTATGCATGAGCTTCCTTCTTATGCATGTCTCTTTTTCTTTCTAGATGGATTCATAATTAGGAGACACAGAAATATCTAGTAAGAAAAAAGAGTACATTGTCATAGAAGTCACTTTATTATATACCTGGACCTTTCCAATTTTTATTATTACCTTTCACCACATTTCCTTACCTGACTTGAACATACTTCACATTAATTTAATCATAGCTTCCATTTATATAAGGAGAGTCTGGTAACTTAATTCTATTTAAAATATTTTGAATAGTCCTATTAAATATATGTATATAAAAAAATGGCTGTATACGTATTTGTATACTTTGATAATTACTTCTGAGAAATATGATATATACATATGCAAGTTCTCTAAAAATGAAAGTATTCTTACAACACATGCTTCAGAATAATCAACTCAATAAACTAAAAACCATAATAAAAGAAGTTGTAAACTACATCAATTCTCTATACATACCTGAGTTTTTGTGACCTTGTTATTAGGATCCAAAATATGCAATGGCATTTCAAATATAAAATCAGTGCTGGATAGTCTCAATGGTGCTTGCAATACTATGAGAGGAAAGTAAATATACTGATAAAATACTAAGAGATATTAGCTTATAGATAATTATTGCTATACTTTTCAACACAAAATAAAAAATAATTTTTTTATCTTTATGTACAGAAAACAAAGTCACACTTTAAAACATTTATAGAATATCATGGTTTATCACATCCATAAAATTCCAATTTTGTGTTTTAATGGTAACTAATTACAAGCACAATAGAAAAATTAGCCTTGAGACAATAAAAGTATAAAATATACTAAATACTGAGCTGAGAATAAAGTACACACAATTAAGATGATCTCTATAATAGATTTTGACCAATGCAGAAGTACAGAAGTGAAATGAAACATGTCTTTTGTAAATATTTTCTCCCAGTCAGTGGTCTGTCTTTTTGGTCTTTTGACAGTATCTTTTGCAGAGCAGAAACTTTTAATTTTAATGAACTCCAGCTTCTTAATTCTTCCTTCACAGATCTTGCCTCTGTTGTTGTATCTAAAATGTTATTGCCAAACTCAAGGTCATGTAGATTTTTTTCTTCTGTTATCTCCCAAAAGTTTTGTAATTTTGCATTTTATGTTTAGGTCTGTGATCCATTTTAAGTTAACTTTTGTGAAGGTACAAGGTCTGTATCTAGATTCATTCTTTTGCTTGTGATGTCCAGTTGTTCAGCACTATTTTTTGAAAAGACTATCTTTTCTGAGCTGTATTGTCTGTGCTCATATGTCAAAGATCAATTGACTACATTTATGTTGGTCTATTTCTGGGCTCTCTTTTCTATTCCACTGATTTATTTGTTTATAATTCTGCTAATATCAAAGTCTTGTGATTACTGCACCTTTGTAGAAAGTCTTGAAGTTGGATAGTGTCAGTCCTCCAATTTTGTTCTTCTCCTTCAGTAGTGTTGGCTATTGTGGGTCTTTCCCCTTTCCATATCAACTTTTAATCAATCTGGCAATACCCATAAAATAACTTTCTGGGATTCTGACTGAGATTGAACTGAATCTCTGGATCAAGTTGGGAAGTGCCATCTTAACAATATTGAGACTTCCTATGCATGAACATGGACTATCACTCCATTTATTTAATTCTTTGATATCTTTCATCAGATAAATTTCATCATTTGCTATCTTTCCTTATGTAGATCTTATAAATACTTTGCTATATTTATACCTAAGTATTTCATTTTTGGGGGGGTGATAATGTAAATGTTATTTTGTATTTAATTTCAAATTCCATTTACTCATTGCTTGTATATGGGAAAGCAATCAACTTTTGTACATTAAGTTTGTATCCTGTAACCTTGCTGTAACAGTTTATTGGTTCCAGAAGTGTTTTTCTTAAGTGACTCTTTCAGATTTTCTACATAAACAATCATGTCATCAATGAATGAAGAGTTGGTCTTCCTTCCCAATCTGTGTATCTTTTGATTCTTTTTCACATCCCATTGCATTAGCTAGGACTTCTAGTACAATGATTAAAAAAAGTGGTGAGAAGGGACATTCTAGCTTGGTTTCTAATTTTAATGAGAAAGCTTTGAGTTTCTCATCATTAAGAATGATAATAGCTGTAGGATATTTATATATATATTTTTTATTAAGTTGAGAAAATTCTGTTCCAGCCCTCATTTACTAAGCTGTTTTCATGAATGGGTATTAGATTTTATAAAATGTTTTATTTCCCCTGAATCTACTGATACGATCATGTGATATTTTTTTCTCTATCCTGTTCATATAATGGAATGCACTGGTTTCTGAATGTGAACCAACCTTGTATACATGAGATAAATCTCACTTGGTCATGGTGCATAATTCTTTTATACATTGTTGGATTTGATTTGTTAATATTTTGTTAAGGACTTGTATCCATGCTGAGAAGAGATATTGGTCTGCTGTTTTCTATTCTTGTAATGCCTTTGTCTGGTTTGGTATTAGAGTAAAACTGACCTCAAAATGAGTTAGAATGAGTTAGAAAGTATTCTTTCTCTTTCTATCTTCTGAAAGAGATTATAGAGAATTGATTACAGAAAACTGGTATGATTTCATCTCTAAATGTCTGATAGAGTCCACGAATGAATCCATCTGGGCCTGGTGCTTTCTGTTTTTGAAGGTTACTAATTACTAATTCAATTTCTTTAATAGATTGAGGTCTATCCAGACTGTCTATTTCTTCATGTGTGAGTTTTGGTAGATTGTGTCTTTCAAGGAATTGCTCCATTTCATCTAGCTTATCAAATTTGCATGCATACTGTTGTTGATGTATTAACCTATTATCCTTATAATTTGAAGAAATATTTTCCAGAAAACCTGAAGTACTCAAGATTAAAGTCTTACACACTAACATTTTGACCTCTTTAAACATTCACTGGGATCCAGATTGTCAGGAAATGATATAATACTTGATAATGAAGCCAGCATTGTGAGACTCACTAATAATCACGAGAGAATAGGCAAAAATCAACAGACATTTAAGGAACTCCTCAGCATGAAGGAGAAATGAAGGAGAAATAATTCAGCAAAAATTGAGACAATGTAGCAACAGAAGAAAATTTCAAACAAATTATCATAATACAAGTGGAGATAAAAAATGTTATTTGTCAGAATTCTGTAGGTAAAGAAATAATCACAAAAAAGTTAACTCTCATTAGATTAAAATTGCCAAAATTTCTTAAGACATAATAAAATCGAAAAATATCCTGAGAAGTACAACAAAAAGATAAGGAAAAGGACAATAGGAAAGAAAATATAAGACATTTAAAATATATAACATAACCCAAGACATACAAAACACAACCAATAAAGCCTTAAAGAAAGAAATATAGAAAATGGTGGGAAGAACTTTTCAAGGAAATAGTTTATGAAAACTTTATAGAACCAGAGGATATGAATTTCCAGATTGAAAAGAACATAAGAACATAAGACAAAAGATTCACACTAAAGTTATCAGTGTGAAATAAGAGAATTTTATACTAAACCAAATTATCATTCAAGTGTGAAAGGAAAAACAAAGATATTTTCAGACATGGAAATTCTCAAAAATTAGCTCCGTTTTGCCCTTTCTTTAGAAGCTCCTGGAAAATGTAATCTACCTAAATGGTGAAGTAAACCAAGAAATAGGAAGGTAAGGGATTGAAAAAATAGGAGATTCAAAACAGAAAAGAGTTAAAAAAAAATCCCTACAATTATAGTGAAAGGAAATCTTAGACAAAAGTTCTGCCACAGGGAAAGTATCTAGTTCATGTTGTAGAAGGAGGTTGTTGTGCTCCAGGAAAGTTGCTTTAAGAGAATAAGTAGATATGACATATTATGTGACAGTCTAGACTATGTGGAACACTGTCCAGACAAGCGTAATATAAAGGAGAGCTTTGTGGCATGGGAGGATTTAGTCAAATATCTAAGGACAATTGAGCAATTAATAACTCCAAGGATAAACAAAAATTTGAAGGAAAGTAAATAAAATAACTATGCAGTTACACTACTTGGCTTAACAATGAACAATGTATCATCATAACAATTAAATCTCTGATAAAAAATTTAATTGAAATTTAAACTATAATTACATTACAAAATGGATAACTGGAGTTAATGTTTCAAGTGAGTACAGATGCTTGTCATTAAATAAGTGTTTTCATTAGATAATTAAAGAAAAAAGTCACTGCCTCTGGGATGCAGGATAAGCCCTGAGAAGGAGATAATGGATTGCAATTCTGGATTAGCACTATTTTACTTTTAAAATATATACATGTAATTTGGGAGAAAAGCGATAACAGAAAGCTTGTGAGCCTCCTACTGAGGCATTATCCTTCTATTGAGGGGTAGCTCAAGGAATAACGGACTTGACCAAGCGTCCTTGAAACATAAAAATGGAATTGACCAGTGGACTATTCAAAAAAAAAAAAAAAAAAAAAACCATTGACATACATGACCTGTCCAAATGGCCAATCAAAAGTATCTGGAATTTATGGATTTATGAGGCACTGCTGGTAGGGGAATGAGAATTCCTTATGTAGATACTTTCTACTTGTATAACTATTAAGAGGACAAAAATGGGAAGCTCCAAACAAAAAACAGCTTCCCTTGGGAACTGGTTTCTAAAAATGACATTCAAAAGTCATATGTTAATTCAAAAGCAAAAGGCATCTTAAGGAGGGAGAAAAGGACAATTTGGAAGCTGTGTCTGATAGATGCCAACTTCTATAGGAAGAAATGTTACATGTCTGCCTGACTATACTTGTATCATTTGAATCATTAGTAAACTTTGAGTTTGGTAAGTTATATAATATAATCAAGTTTCCTTTGACATTCCAATCCTTTCTGGAAATACAGCAATATATATATATTTTTTTTTTACAAATTAACTCAGTATAGAAACTGTTGAATGAATTTTAAACCATTAAAAATAGAAAAAGAAAAAAACAGAATTACATATATACCAAATCTGAAGATGGGGAAGATGGTCTAATCTTTAAAACAATGTTAGAAATCACAGAGGAAATCATAGCTAAATTTCACTATAAAATTATTAAAAGTATTTATTGAACAACAAATAAAACTAAAAGCAAACAATGGATCTTGGGAAACCTCACAGTAAAGGTGAAAAAAATTAATATAAATAAATAAGAAAATCACTGACATCTATCAAATACATCACCACAATGATAAAGGTAAAGTTCATGAGCAGATAATCTTCATATGAAATATATTATTAAGAGCAAAGATAGAAGATTTTTTTAATCCTCATAAGTAATCAAAGAAACTGAAATGATATACTTTCAATCACATAGAAAAATATCCAATTTCTTTAATTCAAGGCTGGTTAGAGTTTACACTGAAGGAGAGGTAAAACAGCATAACTCTTTACAAAAGCCCTTTTGCAAAATGTATCAAGAGCTTTAACATGTATATACTTTTTTTTTAGAGAGAGAGAGAAAGCCTGACTGTGTACTTGTTGGAGGAGGGGGGAGGGGCAGAGGGAGAGATTGCTTAAGCAGGATCCATGCCCAGCATGGAGCCCGACCTCACGACCCTGAGATCATAACCTGAACCAAAGTCAAGAGTTGGATGCTTAACAGCTGAGCCACCCAGGCGTCCCTAACATGTATGTACTTCAGAAGGAATGCAGCCAATTCAGAGAACCTCACTTTTTAAAAAATCTAAACCGGGAGAAAGTATTCTACACAAAAATGTTCAATACTACAATATTTAGGGCGCCTGGGTGGCTCAGTTGGTTAAGCGACTGCCTTCGGCTCAGGTCATGATCCTGGAGTCCCGGGATCGAGTCCCACATCGGGCTCCCTGCTCAGCAGGGAGTCTGCTTCTCCCTCTGACCCTCCTCCCTCTCATGCTCTCTGTCTCTCATTGTCTCTCTCGCAAATAAATAAAATCTTAAAAAAAAAAAAATGTTAAAAAAAATACTACAATATTTATATGAATAAGAAAATAAAAGAAACAACCTAAATCCTTATGATTATGCTTAAATAATCTATAAGAGACACTTATTGGATTAAATATTCTGTAATAGTTATCAGTGTTAATTTATACAATTAAGAGTCTATAACATCCAAGTAAAAGTTTCTATTAAGAGTGAAGAGATTTCAACTTAACCGGCAGTTAAGATCGCAACTATGTTAAAAAAAACATAACTAATAAAGGCATAGAACAAAAGAAGAGTAAGATACCAAGATATTAATAATAGTATGCTCTACATATTCTCACTCCAGATGACATTTCTGTGTTTCTAACATTTTCCAATTTTCCATAACGACGATACATTAATTTTTATTTGTCAAGTAGATAAATTTTATTTTTCACCTAATTTACCTAATTCAGAAAACAAAATTAGAAAATGATTTTTTCCCTAAAATGATGTCTTAAAACAAGGGAGAAAACTCCATGGAACCTCCCTACCAGCTGTAGAACTCTTAATTCTGTATTTTTCTGTATTTTAAACAGGAGGGAAATAAATCTCTATATTGTGTATGCTACTTTAATGAGGCTACTCTTACTAGGTGCCAAGTGCAATCATCAACTGAGCACTATTTTATTATTAATAACAACTTAATGTCAGAATTACAAAAACAAAATATTGCATAATATAGCATAGACTAGACTTAACTTTTCATGAAAAATACTTAAACACATATAATAAAATGCAAAACCAAAGCTCGTCAAAAGTAGGGTTTACAAAAAAAGAAAAGGTAGGGTTTACAGAGTGAATTGGTTTTATATTTGAATATTTGGAGAAAATGAGTAAATAATTACTCAAAAACTTAATATACTTACCCTTCTTTTGTTTTTTTGTTTTTACTTACCCTTCTTTACATGAACTTAGTCCTTTAGTAACCCATTCCTTTGGGGGGGAAATTTTTCTTAAATAAAATTTTCATCATTTCATTATATATCTAATGTATTTGGTTTTAAGAATTTATATTTTGATTTAATCATTTTAAAACTACCCATACAATAAATAACTAAACTGACCTTTGTTTTTAATTATAACCAATTTTTTAAAGCAAGAGCCACTGATCTGAGATTATGTCCATGCTACTGTCACCAGCTAAACCCCAAGACCTGACCTTTACTGCCCACCTGCTTGAACTCACTAACCTTTGTCTTACATTTTTCCTTAAGCTCTTCTTTTCAGCTTACCTCTTAACTCAGGCAAATGAAACTGGAAACCACCCTGTAGGTGATGGCAACTGCCCTGACAAGACCTCCCACCCACCAGACTACCCGGACCTTTTGAGCTAAACCTCCAACTCATACCTGCACAGACAGACCATGGAGTGACCTCTGGAATGACCTACCATTACCTTTGCTTCATTAGAGTACTAAAACCTCCAACCAAGGGGGAGCCTCAGCCTCATTTACATAACATACAATGTATGTATAGACAGGTTTCCTTAAGGCTCATGTGTGACCTTATGGCCACCTCTACATATGATAAGAAGGCTTCCCTAGCTAAACAGTCATCCTAGGGCTGCCTGGGTGGCTTAGTCAGTTAAGCAACTGACTCTTGATTTCGGCTCAGGTCACGAACTCAGGGTAGTGAGATTCAGCCCTGCATCCGGCTCCATGCTGAGCTTGGAGCCTGCTCCAGTTTCTCTCTCTGCCCCTCCCCCACTGCTCACGTTCTTTCTCTCAGAAAAAAATATAATTAATTAATTAAATAAAAATTAAAAGTAGAAATAAGTAAATATTCATCTAACCCTAAACAAAAGGTAACCCTTCACCTGATGTCAGGGATTCATGGCTTTGGAAGCCACTGCCCGTGATCTCCTCAATAAAGTTATCTTTGTGTGACAACTTCACCAGGTGCAGTCTCTGTAACTCAACAAGGAGTGAACTTGGTTTGGTTACGCTATTTCTCAAAATTCATTCTCACAGGCACAATTTAAGTGACACACACAGAAATCATATCATAATTTTACTTTCAAATATTTCTATTTTTAAAAAAGTAAATATCATATTCTGAATTGTTAAACTTTTACCTGCTTAAGTGTAAATATTTGGTATGGGCACACCAAGTGAATGTTTCACAGTACATACCAGTAGCTTGAACATGACACGGTCGAATAAGTGGTGTTGTCTTTGGAATCATAGGAGAATTTGACAAACGATATTGAGTGTAAAGTTCTGAAGCCCTGAAGAAATTAATTTGAACTTGAATGCTGAAGTCATATGTTGCCACCTGACAGAGAAAAAAATACATTACACCTGTGATTATTTTTGCTCTAAGAAATTTGTGATACTATTTTTATTGTATATAAAGTGTACAACTTGAAGATTTGATACACATATCATAATGAAGTAACACAACAATCAAGCTAATTAACATATCCATCGTCTCACAAAGTTACCTCCACCTCGTTGTGAGAACACATATGATCCACCCTCTTAATAAATTTCAGGCATAAAGTACAGTATTGTTACCAGAACTACTATATTATGTGCAATCTCACCTCTGGGTATTCATCCAAAGGAACTGAAATAAGGATCTCAAAGACATACCTGCACTCCTATGTTCATTGCAGCATTATTTACAATAGTCAAGACATGGAAATAACCTAAATGTCCACCAAAGGATAAATGAATAAAGAAAATGTGGTATATACATATAATGGAATATTTTTCAGCTTTAAAAATAGAAGGGAATTTGGCCATTTGCAAAAATATAGATGAACCTGCAGGACATTATGCTTAGTGAAATAAACCAGACAGAGAAAGACAAATAATATATGATCTCACATTTATATGTGGAATCTAAAATAGTCAAATTCATAGAAGCAGAAAACAGAATGGTGGTTACTAGGAGCTAGAGAGAGGGAGATATGGGGAGATATTGGTCAAGAGGTACAAAGTTTCAATTATACAAGATGAATAAGTTCTGGAGATCTAATGAGATACTATGGATCTAGCAAAACAGCAGTTTAAAAAAAAGACATTTTCAAAAAGAAAATTATCTTGCGACGTTGAAAGTAGTTTTTTTTTTTTTAAATAAGACCTGGTTTATTTTTCATGAGCCTAAAAATAATTCTTAAAAATTAAATTAAATTTTAAGAATAGTTCCTATTGATTCAAAATGGACCAAAGACCTAAATATAAAACCTAAAACTATAAACCATTTAGGAAAAAAATCTTTGTAATCATTGGTTAGGCAAAGATTTCTTAAATACAATACCAAAAAAATAATCTACAAAAGAAAAATGATTAAATTATATCAAAGTTAAAAACATCTGTCCTGCTAAAAATGCTTAATAAATAAAATTAGAAGCCAAAAACACACTTTTGACCAAAAAATTCAACTTGTATCCAAAATATATAAAAGAACATACAAAATCAATAAAAAGCAAAGTTCTTAATGGAAAACTAAGTAAAAGATGTGAAAAGACAACTGAGAAAATAAAATATACCTAATACCACAAGAAAAGATGTTTAACATCATCACACATTAGGGAAATGTAAATTGATTCACAGGAAAGAATACTTCACACCTATCACAATGGCTTAAACAAAAACAACATTATGAAGAACTGAAAAAGATGTGAGCACCTAAACCATTTATACATCGTTGATAGGAATACACAGTTTCATAGTCATTATGGAAAACAGTTTCCCACTTTCTTAGAAAATTAAATACGCACTTAACATAAGGCTCACAATTCCTAATTCTACGTGTTTACCAAAGAGAAATGAACACTTGCATGTAAATGTTCATAGTGGCCTTATTTATAATTATGAAAACCTAAAAACAAGCCAAATTCCCTCCAAACAGTGAATGGACAACAAACTTTAGTAAATCCACACAATACTTTTCAACAATGAAGTGTAATGTACTAGTGTTACATATAATAATATGGATGAATATCAGATGCATTACTCTAAGTAAGAGAACCGAGACTGAAAAGCCAACCTATCTTAAGACTTCATTTAATATGATATATAAGTGAAAAGGCAAAATTATACAAACAAAATGAGATCAGTGTTTGTTATTAACTGGAATTCGGGGAAAGACTGACAGCAAACAGGTAAAAAAAAATTTAGAGGAGGGGATACAAGTGTTCTCTATATTGATTTTTGTATTTGCTATGCAATTGTACAATTTGTCAATATTCATATAACAAAAAGACAACTTTACTGCATAATTTTTTATTTTGTTATGTTAATCACCATACATTACATCATTAGTTTTTGATGTAGTGTTCAATGATTCATTGTTTGTGTATAACACCCAGTACTCCATGCAGTACGTGCCCTCCTTAATACCCATCACCGGGTTAACCCATCCCCCTAACCCCCTCCCGTCTAGAACCCTCAGTTTGTTTCTCAGAGTCCACAGTCTCTCATGGTTCGTCTCCCCCACTGATCTCCCCCCCTTCATTTCTCCCTTCCTACTTACTGCATCATAATTTTTAAAACAAATGAAATGAAAAGAAGTTAAAGCTAATTCTTTAGCTCTGGTTTTAATACATCTGGCTTTAAAATCTAAAACAGACTAACAATATAGGCAGTTAACAAGATGAGTCACAGAAGAATGAACACCTAGAGATTCATAACATCTTGGAAATTATATAGTGCTAGCCTCTCATTTTAAAATGAAGACTCTGTGGTTCAGCCTTGACAAAAATACAACCTTACATCAAAGAGAAGAAAAAGAGTTACTCTTGGTGTTTAGGGCTCACAACAAAAGGAAAGGAGGGGATCATGTCAGCCAAATAATGGAAATCCAAATCCAAATGCCCATCCCTCCACAGAAACATTGAAAAACAAGCAAAAGTTGACAGGACCAACTTTGTTAGAACTCTGGAAAATAATCAAAGGTTTGCAGCAACCAAGTGGGAACACTGAATCAAGAAAAAGACAACTTTAAAACAGTAGGGAAGCTTTGTGGCACTTTTACTTGCCCTTGAGCCTCTCCCTTTCTGACTCATCTTCTGTCTTGAAGATGGAGGTCCTAGTGTGAAACTCTGATATCTGGTTTTGGATGAAATAGAGCAGACCTTATTCACAAGTCATTGTATTTGTTTGTTCTAAGCTGTCTTGAGTTACCTGAAGGACTGATGCAAGGTGCTTGTTTTTGTTTTGCCAGACTTCAAAATCACTCAGGTCAGAAAATTAGTGGACAGTGCCCAAAAATACTGTCAGGCAAACAAACAACATGCAGCCATGTAGGACAAAAGATTATGGTTGAGACATGCAAGCAGAGTAACCCCTGGAAAGAAAAGCTAGGGAGAGAGTTTCTTTGGGAAATTAGAGCATTCAAAAGCATGCATGTGTACTGGAGAATCTAGAAAACCAAAAGCATGCCTAGGGAAGGACATGTGATCAGAAAAGAACTGAGGAGATCCTAAGATATCTCCTTTGTCTGGATCTCTAGGCTAAATGCAATGAACATATAAAGGCCAGAACAGAGTTATAAATGCTGAGTAAGTGCACTGGCACAGAGTCAATCCACAAGGAAATCTCTATCAAAACATTAGTTGAACAAAGCTAAGGGACCAGAGACTTCAGTGAACACACACAAAAGGAATATATTCTTTGCAAAAACTCATTTGGAAATTAGTTTGGATGATTGCGGCCTTCAACTATCAAGAACAGATAAAATTTGATTTCCAGAGTTACCACATTACAACATTCAAATATCCACTTTTCAACAACAACAACAAAAATGCATACCAAGAAATAAGAAAGCACAACCCAGTCAAAAGAAAAGCTAAATGACAGAAACCATCAGAGAAGAAGTCCAGGTATTGGACTTACTAGACGAAGACTTTAAATACGCTGTCTTAAATATGCTCATAGATAGGGGGCCTGGGTGGCTCAGTCGGTTAAGCATCTGCCTTTGGCTCAGGTCATGATCCCAGGGTCCTGGGATTAAGTCCTGCATTGGGCTCCGTGTTCAGCAGAGAGTCTGCTTCTCCCTCTCCCTTTGCCCCTCCCCCCACACATGCTTGCTCACTCTCTCTCTCTCTGTCTCAAATAAACAAAATCTTTTTTAAAAAATTGCTCATAGAGCTAAACAATAGAAAAAGGGGGAAAGAAAAAAGAAAAACAAGAAAATGATGTATGAAAAAAATGAGAATATCAACAAAGAGATAGAAATAATAAAAATCAATGAAACTAAAAGTTGGTTCTTTGAAGATTTTTTTAAAAGTACAAAATTTTAAGCCAGACAGAAAAGGGAACAGAAAATAAGACATGAATAACTAAAATAAAAATGAATGTGGATACCCTCTCTCTTTCTCCCTCTCTCTGACAAATAAAATCTTATTAAAAAGAGAATTTATATACCAATAAAGTAAATAATCTAGATGAAATTGACAGATTCATAGAAAAACATAAATTATCAATATTGACCCAAAAAGAAATAGAAATTATGAACAGACCTATAGAAGTGGATAATGATTAGGGCACCTGGGTGGCTCAGTTGGTTAAGCGACTGCCTTCGGCTCAGGTCATGATCCTGGAGTCCCTGGATCGAGTCCCGCATCGGGCTCCCTGCTCGGCAGGGAGTCTGCTTCTCCCTCTGACCCTCCCCCTTCTCATGTGTTCTCTCTCATTCTCTCTCTCTCAAATAAATAAATAAAATCTTTAAAAAAAAAAAAGTGGATAATGACTCAATAAGACCACCCAACAGAGAAATTTCAGGACCAGATGGTGTCACTGGTGAATCCTACCATATATTTAAATAATTAACACAAATACTTCCCAAATTCTTCCAAAAATAGAAAAGGGAAGAAAACTTCCTAACTTATTCTATAAGGTCAACATTATGGCGATATCAAAGACAGATGAAAATATTACAAGAAAAAAAATTACAGATCAATATCCCTTAAGAAAATACTAGCAAACCAAATCTATCAGCATATTATAAGCATTATATACCATGACCAAGTGGGATTTACCCCAAGAATGCAAAGATGGCTCAACATACAAAAATCAATCAATAAATGTGCTTGCTTCAGCAGCACATACACTGGAGTTGGAATGGTTCAGAGAGGATTAGAGTGGCCCCTGTGCAAGGATAACACACAAATTTATGAAGTGTTCCATATTTAAAACTATATGTGTGTGTGTGTGTATAAAATACTCCACATTAATTAAAGAAAAAATGGTGATGCCAATTTGATACAGAAGAAAACCTGATAAAAATCATACATCCTTTCATAATAAAACCACTCAGAACACTAA